AGGTGCTTTTCCTGCAAACTCAAGGCAGACCACGAAACGCAATTAGAAGGAGTAGCGACCGGTGCCAACGCCATGGAATTTCATCATTGGTACATGACTGAACCGCTCAAACAGCTCGCATTTTTTTGCATGACGCATTGGTAGAACAACAAGCATCCACATAAGCGTGTCAGGTCCATTCTACCGGTGCTTGACGGTCTTCGACAGGAATTAATTACTACCGACGTAACAAATCTGCAGCAAGCGCACAGGAAAAGAAAAAGGAGGTTGTCAGCACGCTGATACTACGCAGCTAACATGTGACTCATGAAGCCCCTACACAATGCGACATCGCACAGCTGCTACGAGGTGAAATACAAGACAGATCTAGGAGAAGGAAACCTGCAACGACGCCAAGCTCGAGTGATGAGATACCTCAGATGGAAATGAACTGGGTGAGTTGGAACTTCCCGTGGTTATCGTTGGCGTGGCTTGAGGATAAGGGTTTGTTCTGGTGGTTGGGGATTGGCGTGAAGTTGCCATGTCGCTGTGCTATTGGCTGAAAGTTTTGTACTTGTTAGAGAGTTCTTCGATTTTAAATTGAGTCTGGTACATTGCTGAGCTCTTTATATCTAAAACGGTGGAAACCTGTTTTCACGAAGGGTGTTGGCGAAATGTCACGTGTTCGCGAATAGCAAATGTCGGAATGACCTCGCACGTTTCGACGCACCGCTACTATCGTTCTCGACCAATCACATGTGAGTTGAATTTGCTTGGTGTACTACATTATAATTGGTTGCAGCAAACTGTATCCCCTTATCTGATTCGTGAATTGTTTTGGGCCAATCAGATCTCGCCACACAGTTTCAGCTGGGCAAAGCTCTTGGTATGGTGGCTGGGACGTGGCGAGCATGTTGCGGATACCAACGCGATTGTTCGGATCTGCATCGTATGCACTAAGGTTCAGCTTCACGCCCTCAGATGATGGGCTGTCATAGCACCTGAGCACGATGGCTTCGTCGTAGGCAAACAAGCTATTACGATGTCGTTGTCCCAACTTCACTCTCACTTCGTCGCAACCTCGTCGACTGGGACTTAGTAAACACAACGTAGCGCGGGTCCAACCCCGACCGGTTTCAATTTTTTGGGACGGAGATGCTCCATCGCGGAAAAGTGAAGAACAAAATGTTACGGAAAAGTGAAAGCGTGGGATTTCAGATGCGGAAACACGGTAGCTTTCAAGCGAAGGTTAAAAGATCCACTCCGGATGTAACGTTGGATGTCACAGAAAAGTCACTGAATGGTTTCACCACGTATGATTTTATGTCACGATGATGGTGACAAGAAAGCCACATTTCTGTCCCTGTATTGTGACCACAGCCACGTGGCACCACAATCTCGGCAACCTCCCACTACTTGGGAGTTTCTTAGAGACCGACACGTGGGCTAATCAAATTTGTTTCTTTTTGTGCTGGATCCACACTCCATATGCCACCGACCTATATGTCAGTTGATGCCCATTGGTGTAGAGTTATCGCAGCGCCAATTGCGGATTCAATTGTCGCTGTCAGATTCCGCAGATTGACGTCCAGGATACACTCTGGCATTATCTACAGTGGGCAAATTTATTTTAATGCTCTGCATTAGTCTAACTTATGACACCCGCAATACAATCCAGAGCCATATACAATTACTACCAAGATGAAGGAAAGTTCATACCAAGCTGAACGATAAACCTAGCCGAAAACACAATTACGTGCAGCTTCAGTGTCAGGAACTGTTAGTCGCAAAAAGAGAAGGAAAAAAGGGATGGAAACCTAGCAAATCAACAGTCGCAAGGAGAGAAAAATGCCACGAAAAAAATTGGAACGAGCAAAGAGCGTGAGATTATACGAACAAAAACGCGAGAGACGAGAGGCAAAAAAAAAGTGTTGTAAAGGGCATACGAGTGATAAATAACGTAGGGGAGAACGAGAGAGAATGAAACGATAGTCGGGTGCAAAAGACAGTTATTCGGAGGTGGAGCAAAACCATTGAGCAGATTAAGAATAGGAAGATAAGGGAAGTGGTTGAGCGAGTACGGTTGGGGAAGGGAGGCTCATTTGGGGTCTGGGAGGTGGTTGGGAGGATTAGGGAGTGGTCGGCAGGTTTTTTTTGGGGTGTGCTGGCATAAGGATAAGCCCGAGTGATGATTGGCCTGCTCAATTTCATAGTGTACGCGATTGGTGGGTATTGCACGCCTGGTTCAGATAATGCGTCACGTGTCATGCATGTTCTGAGTGATAGCAAGTCTCCCCCCAAACCCCCAAAAGCAATCGTTGAACTCTTCGTCAGTACCTGTTTTCGTTAATTGTTGTCGTCATCCAATGGTATAACTCGGTTGGCGGTGACGTGTCTCGGTGGTTCTCGTTTCCCTTATGGTGACACTGAACTTGTGTGCCAGATTTTACAGATCGTTGGTATTTCGCATGCAGTCACGAACTGTTTTGTTTTCGACTGTTGCTTCGTCAACTTCGCTGGACCCGAGTTAATGTCACAGTGCAGAACCTTAGGTTTGACTAAAACGCAGAACCCGAGTTAATCTAAAACGCTTTTGACTGCCCGATCACACCTCAAACCGTTAGGTACACCCAGATATTCGACACAAGAACAGGCGGAAAAAGAAACTTTTTGGTTCTTTCACTTTAATTTTGGGCCTGCGAATTGTTATGTCACAGCAATCGAATTTCATGATTGAATTTGACGCAGTTGGCCAAAGTATTTATGTGCAAGCTGCCGCATTGGCTTGATGGCAGCAATCCGCGAAGATCTGGCAATCCGATTTGGGAACCAATCCCATAGCCAGAGGTGGCACGCGAAATCAACCGACCACGGCGTCGCAACACTCACTTCGCGGAAACAAACAGGTGACAATCCGGACACCATCTTTCCCGCCAATAGGCCTGGACGACATGTGACGTGGACCGCGCGAGATCTTCGGCAGAATCCTTGATGAGATTCCGAATCGACCGTCGGGTGTTACAGTCACGTTTTAGGTGCGGAATTGGGCCAATGTGATAATAAAGCGATATGGTTACTCGGCACAAAAAACAATCACACCTGTCGTTTCAAAACCTGTGACATGATCGAATATCTGGGTGTACATTTTTTGGGCGAGGAAATTTGGCTGACGTAGTGAAGAAGCAATTCGGCACATTTTTTTACGAGGCGCACATTTTTGTGCGAGCCGCATTTCCAATGGGCAATGTGGCTGCAAAATTGTTGCCATATACAGAGGGTATGCTCTATGCTCCAAATCCGCGACTCGCAGATATGGACTACGACGAATAAGAGCGGTTCACTACGGGCAAAATGGATTATCGAGTAGCACGTACGGTTTTAGGTGGGGTGGAGTAGGCCGTTTTACTCTTTCTGTTCACGATGGGTGCCTTGGCGTATTGGCCCTTGGGCCAGGTTACCAGCGACTCGCGGGTTGGTTGGCGACACTCGCATGCTGGGATCGCACCCAATTCGGGTGGCGCGTCTCGATGGTCGGTGGCACTATGCGACTGTCGTGATTGGTTACAATGTTTGATTGCGCTTTTTTAGCGAAGTCAACAGTAGATGTATACCGTACAGACGGAGTACATCGTGGCCGATCTTATCGAATTCCGGACCTTGGAGTATTACATGGAGTAAAATGTCGTGGACCTAATGGCATACCCGCTGTACCATATACCCATTTACCCCTAGCCCATATTCGCTTAATGGGAAATCTGTCGGTTCGCGAATTGGGCATAAAAAAAATATATCCTGTGAGCGAGTTCCTACGGATGTTCGGAAGTTTGGTTGGGAACGGTGGATCCAAGACACACGTTTCATGGGTACTTACCCAGAACTTACTTGACATTATGCAAGTGTTTTCGGGCATCACAAGTACACATCGGGTTTCCGTTTTCCGACTCCTTGTGGCGGTTCACATTTATGCTTCATAGACAGTAAATCCGTTCAAACTTAAGCAATAAGAGAAGCGCCTTGACAAAACGGTTTTGTGTGTTTCAGAAATCCTTTAATTCTGAAAGTCAAAACAGAGCGTTAGAGTAACGGGAAAAGTTGTGACTAAGGGAAAATGTCGAGGGATACAAAACTAGGGCTGTACTCTCTAAGAACTTAACTAGCTAGGCTATAAACAAATATGACCTAGCTATTCTATATAAATATATTTGTTGACACACCCCCTAGCCTAGATAGTGGCCGTTCATGCCAGGGCACAGTACACCAGGGCAGCACTACTAGTCTGACCTCTGGTGAGGGCAACAAGGTAACTCCGGGCAGCACTTCTAGTCTGACCACTGACGCAAGAGGCCACAAGGCTAGATACCAAGTGTAGCAAGACAAGCAAGTGTAGAACAACAAGTACAAGCAGGTATAGTATGACTTAGGATAAAAGGAGTGGTGCTGCGACAGAAACGAGACCAAGCTGAGTACAGAACCGCTGATGGTCATGAGGCGCAAGTGCCTTGGTGAAGATATCAGTGGTATTTGTCGAGTGACCCGCTGGGTTACCCTTGAAAAGATCCTCGGGGAAGGGCCACAGGTGCAGAGCCTAGGGGGTTATGGGCGCACTTACCCGCTATTTAACAAACCCTATTAACCCAGTGGTTAGTGATTGGGTTTCTGAGAGTATTGGCCTCTGAGGCCAAATGTACCACACGAGCCTGACCGAGCTGCTGCAACTCACGCAGCTGGAAGTACCACAGCTGGATGTGCTTCGCCCTGCCCTCAAGTTGAGTCTCCTGGAACACAAGGATCATGGCCCAGTTGTCAGCAAACAGGACCAGGGCAGACCTAGGCTGCTTACCTAAGTCAGTGAGTAAGAACGTCTACCAGCAGAGCTCTTGAGCAGCCATGGCCCCAGCGTAGATCTCTGCCTCACAACTAGACTGAGCTACAGACGACGACCTGGTGGACCTCCAAGAGACTGCACCATCACCAAGACTAAAACGGTAGCCCTGAGACGACCTGAGCGTCTCCAGGACGGCAGCCCACAATGCGTCTGTGTGTCCAGTGAGCACCACTGGCTCCCGTCCACCTAGCACAAGCCCTTAACGTGATGTACTCGCCATATACCGCAGTACCCTCTTAGCAGCCGACCAGTGGACTAGTCGGTGCCTGCCTGTTGCAACAAAGCGAGGCAAGAGACTAAGAGGGCATGCTAGATCTGCTCAAGTGCAGGTCCTCAGGTACATGAGGCACCCCACCAGCTATGCGTATGGACCACTAGCCTGGACCGGCTCAGCCAGAACAGGAGCAGAGAGCTTGGGATCCACTGGCAGAAGGGTGGGCTGTGCTGAGGAAAACTGGAGACTAAACCTCTGGAGAGTGTGATCATGTGAGCAGCACAGTCACGAGAGATCTCCAAGCTAGAATAGCACCTCAGCTCCCCCAAGTCAGTTTAGGGGTGTCCCCCAAATAATTCGGCCTTCACTGAGGCCAGTACGGCTCTCTCAGGAGTAGCAAAGATAAGATCATCTACGTACACTAGAATGTAGAACGGTGTCTGACCCGTGTGAACAAAGAGAGAGGGGTCAGCAGAGGACGGAAAGAACTGCAGCTCAGCAAGAGTGGTGCGAAGCATGTCGTGCTACTCATGGCCTGATGAAGGTCATAGAGAGGACGGCGCAGGCTCCACTCGGTCCTAGGTAAGAAGGACCGAGAGAAGCCTAGAGGGCGCCAGAGCTAGATCTGGTCGTGCAGACTACCCTTCAGGAACGCTATGGAGAAGTCGAGTCGATGAAGCTCGTAGTCACGCTGTGCGGCTATGTGAAGAAGGACCCGAAGAGTAGTCATCTTTGGGGTCGGGGAGAAGATCTGGAAGAAGTCCACACCCTCATGCTGACTGAAGCCTCTAGCCACATAACGTGCCTTGAACTTCGGCGGTTCTCGTTGTGCATTGTAGATCCACATGCCATCGACTACGTTCGCCCCAGGCCGGGGACCTGCGTCGACGTAAGTGCCTATGGATATGTAGGATGCCATTTCAGCCTCCTTGGCCTGTATCCACTGGGCTGCCCAGGGCCCCGACACTGCCTTAGTGTAAGAGCGCAGAACAGGGATGCCGAGAGCACCTGGGTCGCCCTCTAGGGGTACAAGCATGGAGCAGAGATGGGGAACAGCGGCAGCAAGGTAGGCCAACTCGTACTGCCTGTCCTCTAGCATGTCACTGCCAAGGGCAGATGCACCCCCGATGGATGGAGGACGGGCAGTACCAAAGACCAGAGCGGCAGCATAGTCAAGGCGGTGGCTAGTGGCAAAGTCAGCGACAGCAGCGACAAGTGCAGAGACAGTCTCGGGAGGAGCAGTAGGGTTAGTGACAAGCGACACAAGCAAGCTAGAGAGGATAGGATGAGCAGCGAGAGTAGCGTTGGAGCGAGGAGGGAGGAATGACGGAAGTGACGACGGGGGAGGCAAGTGGAGGACTGTGACTGGAGGAAGAACCATAGGGTGGAAACTAGGACAAGGAGAGACAAGATGAGCACCAGAGGGGCGACGGACCCAGTGGGGAAGAACTGGGGACTGGGGATAAGGGGGAACGGGGGACAAGTATGGGGACGGAGGGAAGCACGAGGGACAACGAGTCGGAGAGGAGTCTGGAGAAGGTAACAACGGGTCGTAAAGAGGGTCACGCATTGGAGGGGGAACGAGCGAGCGGACAGGGGAACGTGGAGCAAGACCGAGACGAAGGGCAGACTGCGGCTGCTCCTACTACAGCGGCTGCGCCTACTGCTGCGGCTGCGCTTGCTGCTGCGGCTGCACCTGCTGCTGTGGATGCATCTGCTGCTGCGGCATCTGCTGCTGCTGCGGCTGCCGCTACAGCTGCAACTGCTCCCTGTCCTCTCCAGGACCTCCAGCGGCACCGCAGCTGCCACCTGCACTCCCCGAAATAGCAGCCTCAAGACTAGCACCCTCAGACGCACCACCTACAGAACCACCACCCTCAAAGTCAGCACCCCCCGAACTCACACCCCCTGAACCAACACACCCAACACCAGCGCTTCCAACATCAGCACCCCCAAAACCAGCACCCCTAGAACCAGAATCTACAGAACCGGCACCCCTAGAACCAGAATCCCCAGAACCAGCACCCCTAGAACCCACTGCTCCCTGGTGCGGTCGCTGAGGCTGCTTTTACCATGTTAGAAAAGCAAGAAAAGTTGTGACTTAGTGAAAATGTCGAGGGATACAAAACTAGGACTGTACTCACTAAGCACTAAACTAGCTAGGCCATAAACAAATATGACCTAGCTAATCTATATAAATATATTTGGGACAACATCCTCATCTACTCGCGAGACATGAAGCAGCACGTCGAACACCTACGTGTTCGACATTCTTCGACGAGAACGATTCTACGTCAAATTGTCCAAGAGCGAATTTCCCTCGAGAAGCTCCAATTCCTCGGACACATGGTGAGCGATCAAGGAGTTCACGTCGACCTCAAGAAAATCGAAGCCGTACGCACGTGGAAGACTTCCGAGAATGTGAAGGAGTTGCAGCAGTTCCGAGGCTTCGCTAACTATTACAACAGGTTCGTGCCACAGTACGCGAAAATCGCAACACCACTAACGAATTTACTGATGAAGACCACGCCTTATAAGTGGGAACAAAAACATCAGGAAGCTGTGGAGGAACTGAAACAAGCACTCAAGTCCGCACCCGTACTCATCTTGCGAGATCCCGAATGCGACTATGTCATCGAAGCAAACGCTAGCGACCAGGCCGTGGGAGCAGTCCTGATGCAAGACCAGGGGAATGGACTACAACCAATCGCCTACCTCAGCAAGAAATTACACGGGGCAGAACTAAACTACCCGATACACAACAAGGAGGCCCTTCCTATTATCATCGTTTTCAAAACGTGGAAAAGTTATCCTGAAGGACAAAAAACATCCATCTACACTAACCACTACAACTTGAAACATTTGAAGACACAGCCAAACCTCTCCAGGTGGCAGCTCCGGTGGATCGACTTCCTCGAGACGCACTTCCACTATGACATCGTGTACAAGCCTGGCCATAAAAACAAAGCAGACGCTCTTAGTGGGCCTGCACACGTTGCCACTATCCAGGTAGAAGGGATGAACCCACTCCTCAAGAGACTCTTCACACGCGGGTACACCATTGACCCCGAAATTCCCTTGGCAGAAAAGCGACACCTGCTATAGTGGGACAGTGATATCGCGTACCAGAAAGAATCAACAAAAATCTGGGTACCCAATTACCCTCCTTTGTGCCAGTTTCTACTCAAAGAATACCATGATGTGCTATAAGCGGGACACTTTGGTAGCAATAAGACGCTCACCGGTATTGTAAAGCACTACTACTGGCCCCACATGGTAGAAGATGTACAAAACTTTGTCACCTCGTGCGATACATGTCAGCAGATGAAGAGCAGCAAGCAGAAAAAGGCAGGACTACTAGAGCCTCTTCCTATCCCAGAATAAGCATGGCAAGTGGTGAGCATGGACTTCATCACCGGGTTTCCAACTACCACAAGTGGTCAAGATGCAATCCTCTTCGTCATCGACAAATTCTCCAAAACGGGACACTTCATCCCGACACACACGACAGCATGCACCTAGGAGATGGCACAACTATTTGTTCGCTACATCATCACATAACACGACATTCCAACCACACTCATCTCCGACCGAGTCCCCAAGTTCACCAGCAAATTCAGGAAGGAACTGATGTCTCTGCTCAGGACCAAACTCGCCATGTCATCCGCCTACCATCTGCAGACAGACGGCCAGACCGAGTGTCAACCAAATTGTCGAGCAACTCCTCCGCGCAGCATGCAAGGATGAAATCACTCCCTCAACGGCCGATCAATCCTTGTTCATGCTTGGCGAGGGGGAGCAGAGGAGCTTCATGGTGGTTTATGTGGATGACATCCTCATATTCTCACCCTCCTCTGACCTTGTGAAGGATGTGATGCTGAAGCTTCAAGACAAATTCAAGTGCAAGACCCTTGGTGACGTCAACTACTACCTTGGGCTTCACATTGAGCGAGATGTGGAGAAGCGGTGGATGCGAGTGCATCAAAAGAAGTACTTGGAGGCCTTGGCTGCAAACTTTGGGAAGAGTGAAGGTCATGTGGCTACTCCTCTTCCCTCAGGGTTCAAGTGTGTGAAAGGACCAGCGGAGGAAAGTGTTGGTGAAGAGGAGAGGCGGCGTTTTCACTCCTTGGTGGGCAGCCTCATGTATGCGGCCGTTCACACAAGGCCGGATGCAGCCTTTGCTACCGGGCAGCTGGCTAGGGTTGTCCAATGCCCTAATGAAGAGCAGGTAGCAGCTGGAGAGAGGGTGGCCAAGTACCTTGGCCAAACAGCAACTGTTGGACTGCAATACTCCGCGGCGGCACAAAGGCATCAAAAGGGTGCGGATGGGGTCGAACCCGGGAGGCTCTTTCTCACCGCCTTCTCTCATGCATCTTGGGCATCAAAACCAGAGGACATGACAAGTGTGGGAGGCTTCATCTGCTGTGTTGGTGGAGGACCAACAGCTTGGGAGAGCAAGAAACAAGTGGACCAAGCATTGAGCTCGGTGGAGTCCGAGTACATGGCACTCTTCCGTGCCATAAGAGAGGTTGTGTGGCAGCGGCGTTTGCTAGCTGAATTGGGGGAGGAGCAGCAAGGACCTACCCCAATTTACTGTGATAGCCAGGGTGCTATTGCATTGGCAAAGAACCCCGTTCTTCATGGCCTTACCAAGCACATGAAGGTGAAGTGGCATTGGGTGAGGAGCATGGTAACCGCGGGTGAAGTGGAGTTGCACTAGACGATGGCGCAGCCAGCTGATATGATGACCAAGAGGCTCATTGAGCAGCAGCATTGGAAGTGTTGCAAGCTTGCTGGGATGGCTCTGAACTAAGAGGAGCAGATTATAAGGCCAACAATCCGAGGGGGAGTTTGTTGGTGCAACCCTATGGCTTGCACTCGGCTTGTCGTCCTTGTTTGTGTGTGTGCATGCATGGCATGGAATGAATTGCGAGTCTATGTCATTGCTATCCAGTGCTTGTGTGTGTGTTTGAATGGTGTATCACAATGTGGTTTGTGTCGGTCAAGACATTAGCGAGTTTTTACAACTCGCATGTCAAGTCGTCGTTTGTGTGTCGCATGTGTTTTTTCTATTTTGTCGAGTGTGAAGTGTCCATCGCGCCGCAGGTGTGTGCAGCAAGCCCCCATCAACTCAAGAAGAATTTATCTTGCAGATCCAAGACCAAGAGCTCAAGATTTCAAGCCCAAGGGACGCGGATAAATATTAAATAGTGAAAATAGTAACGCGACTTCGTGTAGTGTTACATTTCAATTGGTGTAGCCCCTTGGAGGGTTGGTTTCGAGACTCTTCATGGTTGGGGACTCTGTGGTGGTGTACCACCAACTTGGACCTCGGCTCTTGCGGTATGTAGAGGCTGGGAACCATCTCCCTCTCGAACTCTTCTTGCTAAGTTTGTACTCCTAAGACTATTGTGGCTGCTATACCTCTTGCCAGTCAAACCGCCATAGCGTCGTCAAATCTTCATGGAATTTCATGATTC